GACATAGTCGAAGATCTAATTTCAGCCTAATGTAATTACTCATTTCCCAAAACTATTATCGTATCTGTTGGAATTGTCTGTGTACTACAAACAAACCATAATAACAAAAACAAACATTTCAGCACAAATATATATATATATATATATATTGCACGGCAACTAAAGTACAATGTTGCAACAGCAACAACAACAGCTATACCTAGACAGTCAACCAGCCAACAATTTGAGCAATGCGGCAGCAAAATTCGACAACATTAGAAGGCGCGACGGAAACAATTTCTCCGCTAGTTGTCTAGATGGTTGGTCGTTTTTTTGCCTGCCTAGCTATTTTGTTATCTATCTGCCGTTCATCGGTTTGTCGACGATACACGGGCAGCGAAGCGGATGCAATGGTTTGTAATTTATCCGAAACAAATGTAAAAATTGCAATAAAATGCTGCCAAATTTGTCCTAAACTCTATTTAAAATGTCAGAGGATGATGTTACACCCACTCCACCACCCCGCCACGTGGAGTTTGGCTAACGAACGTTATCACATTACACAAATGAGTTTTTTTTTTGGTTCATGTAAGTGGATTGGTCACGCTGAGGCTGGCGACCACCATTTGGTGTTCGACAAAATTGGATTGTAATTTCGTGGTCATGTTGTAATGTGAAGATTGCCTGATACATTTCATTACAATGTAGTATAATTTTGAATTAAAAAATAGACCATAGACCTCCATAAAATATTTTTCATTTCAAAAATTCACATTTCTGAAGTGACCTAAAAAATGTGTTTTTTGTATACCCTTCACCACACTGTGGTACAGGGTATTATGTCTTTGTGCATATGTTTGTAACAGGAAAAAATAATCGAGATAGACCCATGGTTCCTTTTGAGAATATGCATAGAATCACTTTCTGAGTCGATTTATGCATGTCCGTCCGTCCGTTTGTCCGTCTGTCCGTCTGTCCATGTTAAATTGTAAACAAAGTACAGGTCGCATTTATGATCCGAATTGGATGAAATATGGCACAGCTCAGTTGTTTGGCCCAAGGACGAACCCTGTTGAAATTGGGAAAAATCGGTCCAGATTTAGATATAGCTCCCATATATAGTTTCGCCCGATTTTAGGTAAATTGTGCACCAAAGTCCCTGAAAATCATTTGATTTACACGAATTTCGGCCTAGAGTATTAGATTAAGTCTAGAATGACGTGTGCTAAGTTTCGTGAAAATCGGCTCAACTATAGATATAGCTCCCATATATAGTTTCACCCGATTTCAGGTAAATGATGTACCAAAATCCCTATTTATATTTCGATTTGCATGAAATTTGGTATAGCCAACTGAATTAGGTCTAGAATGATGTGTGCTAAGTTTCCTGAACATCGGTTGAGATTTAGATATAGCTCCCATATATAGCTTTCCCCGATTTAAGGTAAATATTGTACCAAAGTCCCTATATATCTTTCGATTTGCATGAAATTTGGTATAGCCAACTGAATTAGGTCTAGAATGATGTGTGCTAAGTTTCCTGAAAATCGGTTCAGATTTAGATATAGCTTCCATACATAGTTTCGTCCGATTTAAGGTAAATATTGTACCAAAGTCCCTATATATCTTTCGATTTGCATGAAATTTGGTATAGCCTACTGAATTAGGTCTAGAATGATGTGTGCTAAGTTTCGTGAAAATCGGTTCAGATTTAGATATAGCTTCCATACATAAATTCGTCCTATTTTAGGTAAATGGTACACCAAAGTCTCTGAAAATCATTCGATTTGCACGAATTTTGGCATAGTGTATTGAATTAAGTCTGGAGTGATGTGTAGGAGGTGTACACATCATTCCAGACTTAATTCAATACACTATGCCAAAATTCGTGCAAATCGAATGATTTTCAGATTTGAAACAACGTATTGAAATTAGTATAAATTAATCACCGGCAAGTTTGCTTCAAATCGGTTCTCGTAGCTTCCATATATAATTTCGACTTATTTATTGAGATTAAATTTTAAACTGTGCAGCATACCGAATAGCGTGTGTGCTTTAAATCGATTTACACAAATCTGCCCCACTGTGCGCAAACGACTCTAAACTTGCCCAAATGAAATGAAATTTAGCATTGGTTCCAGAAAGATATAAAAATCACATATTTAAGTTCGTTCAATTTCATGTCAAAATTCCTTCAAAAAGTCGACGTCTTTTCGGATACATATGTACCTAAGAAATTTTTAAATATCCACATTTATAAAAAATTCCCAATGGTTTCTTCATTTGAAAAACATCAGGGAAAAATCTAATTGTCAAAATCTAAATAACATCACACACCCTTCTGCGTCATAAAAGTTATCCAAAGTTATCTCCAGTCATTCTGACCTCTATTAAATGGATCTTGAAAATCTTTTGCAATTGATTTTATTTAGCAGCAGCATTTATGTTCATCTCTGTTTATTGCCTCATACCGAACAGGCTGACAGCCAATATTTCCCTTTTATTGCATTCGTCAATAAAAACAAACTTTATTTGTAACAACTTTCTTTCAATAGAACATCGATGACATTTCTACTTGTTGTTGTTGTTACTACAGAAGTTTCCGGTTGCATCATAAAAATAAATTCACCAACAGCAAGGGGAAGAGAGGGTGACACTCAATATGATTGGGAAAAAGTTAAAATGTTTCACTTTGTCATTTATTGGAGTTTTCACAACTTGAAATATCGCAAGTAATTTTATTACAGCCCTCTCTGGAGGGTTGGGTGAGTACAATAAAGTTTTTTTTTTTTTTATCACAATCAATGTTAGGAATTCTGAGGGAGGGGAGCAACAATTCAATAAATGATGCATGTGCTGACTCTTGTTTGTTTAAAAAATCCATCCCTAGTTGGAATCTTTAAAAATAATTTAAAAAAATCCACTCCATATTGGAGCTCATAAAAGAATTATTTAAAAACCGGTAAGGAAAGTAGTAAAGTCGAATTGGGCCGACTATATATTACCCTTCACCACTTTGATATATTGTACATATGTCTCCTAACAGACTCCGCCTTTTCGAAAGAACATTGGCATCAAATTGAACGTACTTGAATATAAGATGTTTATGCCTTTCTGGGTCCTATGCTAAATTTTATTTATTTTCTATATCCAAATCTGGAACGATTTTCACGAAACTTATCGCACATCATTCTACGTTATGCCAAATTTCGTGCAAATCGAATGATATATAGGGACATTGGTGCACCATTTACATAAAATCGGACAAAAATATATATGGGAGCTATATCTAAATCTGCACCGATTTTCTCGAAACTTAACACACGTCATTCTGGACCTAATTCAGTACCCTATGCAAAATTTCGTGCAAATCGAAAGATATATAGGTACTTCGGTGCCCAATTTACATAAAACCGGACGAAAATATATACGGGAGCTATATCTAAATCTGAACCGATTTTCATGAAACTTTGCATACATCATTCTAGACTCAATTTAGTACGCTATGCCAAATTTCGGGCAAATCGAAAGATATTTAGGGACTTTGGCGCACCAGTTACCTTAAATCGGACGAAAATATATATGGGAGATATATCTAAATCTGAACCGATTTTCACAAAACTTAGCACACATCATTGTGGACCCAATTCAGTACCCTATGCAAAATTTCGTGCAAATCGAAAGATAGATATGGACTTCGGTGCCCCATTTACATAAAATCGGACAAAACTATATATAGAAGCTATATCTAAATCTGAACCGATTTTCTCGAAACTTAACGCACGTCATCCTGGAAATATTTCAGTACTCTATGCAAAATTTTGTGCAAATCGAAAGATATATAGGGACTTCTATGGCCCATTTACCTTAAATCGGACGAAAATATATATGGAAGCTATATCTAAATCTGAACCGATTTTCTCGAAATTTAGCACACATCATTGTGGACCCAATTCAGTACCCTATGCAAAATTTCGAAAGAAATACAGGGACTTCAGTGCCCCAATTACCTGAAATCGAACGAAAATATATATAGGAGCTATATCTAAATCTGAACCGATTTTCTTCAATTTCAATAGGGTTCGTTCTTGGGCCAAATAAGTAGCTTGTGCCAAATTTTATTCAAATCGGACAATAAATACGACCTGTACTTTGTTTACAATTTAACATCTACAGGCGGACGGACATCGACTCAGATAGTGATTCCATGCATATTCTCAAAATAAACCATGTGTCTATCTCGTTTCCTTTTGCCTGTTACAAGCATATGCACATACCATAGTGTGGTGAAGGGTATAACAAAGTTAAAGTACGTTTACATTGTACCGGATTTCGTAAACCCAGTGGGTTTAAATTGTCAATTTCATAGTATACATGTCAAATAAAACCTCATGAAGTAGGTTAACCTGGTAAAAAGTTCGAATGTAAATGCCGCATTAGAGTCTTTTAAACAAAATATTTAAAAATTCCACGGCTTATTAGACTCCTTTAGAGTCCTTTTTTGAAAAATATATATTTTCATCAAATTAAAATCCCTAGCTTTGAATTGAAGTCCTTTTTAAAAATCAACTACCTGTCAATTTGTTTTTCAAAATATTGGCATTTGGCGTGCACATAAATGCAGCTGTTAGTTGCTCAATTGACATGCAATGTGACCTAAATGTTCATCACACTCACTCGCAAAAATTTGCTTCAATTCTAGTCACTTCGAAGAACAACATCATCGTCATCATTACTGAGAGACATGACAGGCAAACAAAGGGCCAAAAAAAACAAATCCTAACCTCTCTGTGAATGTACACCGAAAATTAGGCAATTAAAACTTCATGTTGTTCATGTTCCTGTCATAGACCCATCACAGAGTGACTGTGACCGACGTCCGCTTCCTTTTTTTGGTGCCACATAAACATGTGCAGCACGTCAGCCATTGTACACACACACACACAGACCCTCACCCACCCATGTAAGTAGTACTTAAATTGTCAATAGCTTCGGCATGAAAGAATGAAAGTCGTACTCACCCAATAAATGTGTCCGAAAGTAGATCACGTCACGTAGTGTCACTTCCTCGTTGCGATAGAGTATTTGGAAAACACGTGAGGCTCCTGCCCCATTAATTATGCTGGCCGAGGCTAAATTGTGAACATTATTCGGCAGTGGTGGTATATCGGATGGTTGCTGTTGTTGTTGGTGCTGCTGTTGATTATTGTCCAACTGTTCCACAGTCTCTGTTCCATTGTTGGCACCCACACCGTTCGCATTATTAGCATCTCCATTGCCAGCACCATTCGCCAAGGCAATGGGTTGTACGGCTGGTTGGCCATTGGCTGTGGTCTCTGGTATTGTGGTTTCGATTTGGACCGGTAGACGGGGTGAGACACGCAGCGAGCATCGTACCTGATACAAACTGTTTAATGAGGTGTTGTTTGTTGTAGTTGTTGTTGTTGTTGGCAGGTATTTTGTTTTAAATAGTCCATGTTGATGACGACATCGAGGATGAGGAAGAAGACAATGACGACGATAATATTGTCAACGTTTCGCCAATAGCATGGTTAATGAAAGTAGAGACCAAAAAAGAGAAGAAAATAAAAATCCACAAGAAAAGTCAAAGGTTAATTGTGACACTAAAGCAAAACATCTTTTTTTTAAATAATAAAAATGTTAAATTATGATAATAAGGAGCGCGGGAGGAGGAGGAATGAAAAATGGGGTTCGTTATGGCTGGTTGATTAATAAGGGATTCATTAAAAATAAATCACGCAGTTGAAGGAGTAATAAGGGATTGTAAAGGTTGAGATTTTTTCTCTCATTCTTGCCTTCTAAAGACCCTTAAACATTAATTAAAAAAAAAAAATCTTCTTATGATGGACCCTTAGAAATTAATTTTAAAAAATCCACGACTTGTGTGGAATCTTTAGAAATTAATTAAAAAAACCAGTAAGGAAGTAGTAAAGTCGGACGGGGCCGACTATATGATACCCTTCACCACTGTGGGTATGAATCCTAACAGACGTCGAATTTTTGAAGGACCAGTAAAATGAAATTGGATCCATAAACATGTTATTCTGCAACATATACTAAATTTTTCACTTGGTCAGATACAGGGTTGCTTCAAGCTAGGTTATATTATATTCAATACGTTGTGCCAAATTTTTGTCAATCGACCTAACTTTGGGTCTTTGGTAAACCATTTATCTATCGGAGGAAAATATATATGGGAGCTATATCTAAATCTGAACCGATTTACACAAAAGTTAACTTACGTCGTTCTGGACCTTATTCAGTACGCTGTGCCAAAATTTGTGCAAATCCAAAGATATATAGGGACTTTGGTGCCCCATTTACCTTAAATCGGACGAAGCTATATATAAATCTGGACCGATTTTCACGAAACGTAGCACACATCATTCCTGACCCAATTCAGTACTCTATGCCAAATTTCGTGCAAATCGAAATATATATAGGGACTTTGGAGACCGAAAATATATATGGGAGCTATATCTAAATCTAAACCGATTTTCACGAAACTTAGCACACATCATTCTGGACCTAATTCAGTACTCTATGCCAAATTTTACGCAAATCGAAAGCTATATAGGGAGTTTGGTGACTCATTTACCTTAAATCGGACGAAAGTATATATGGGAGCTATATCTAAATCTGGACCGATTTTCACGAAACGTGACACACTTCATTCTGGACCTAATTCAGTACCCTGTGCCAAATTTCGTGCAAATCCAAGGATATATAGGGACATTGGTGCACCATTTACCTTAAATCGGACGAAACTATATATGGGAGCTATATCTAAATCTGATCCGATTTTCTCGAAACTTGACACACATCATTCTGCACCTAATTCAATACTCTGTGCTAAATTTCAGGCAAATCGAATGATATGTAGGGACTTTGGTGCACCATTTACCTTAAATCGGACGAAACTATATATGGGAGCTATATCTAAATCTGGACCGATTTTAACTAAACGTAGCACATTTCATTCTGGACCCAATTCAGTACCCTGTGCCAAATTTCGTGCAAATCCAAGGCTATATAGGGACTTTGGTGCACCATTTACTTTAAATCGGACGAAACTATATATGGGAGCTATATCTAAATCTGAACCGATTTTCTCAAAACTTGGCACACATCATTCTGGACCTAATTCAGTACTCTGTGCCAAATTTCGTGCAAATCGAAAGATATAGAGGGACTTTGGTGCCCCAATTACCTTAAATCGGACGAAAATATATATGGGAGCTATATCTAAATCTGAACCGATTTTTCCCAATTTCAATAGGGTTCGTCCTTGGGCCAAATAAGTGACTTGTGCCAAATTTCATCCAAATCGGAGCATAAATGCGACCTGTATTTTGTTTACAATTTAACATCTACAGACGGACAGACGGACGGACGGGCGGACATGCATAAATCGACTCAGAAAGTGATTCTATGCATATTCTCAAAAGGAACCATGTGTCTATCTCGTTACCTTTTACCTGTTACAAACATATGCACAAAGACATAATACCCTGTACCACAGTGTGGTGAAGGGTATAAAAACTACGCCTTGTGTTGGACACTTAGAACTAATTTTTACAAAATCCACGCCTAGTTTGGAGGCCTTAGAAATGAATTTTAAAAAAATCCACACCTAGTGTGGACCCTTAGAAATAATTTTTAAAAAAATCACGCCTAGTTTGGAACCCTTAGAAATAATTTTTTAAAAAATTCACGACTTGTGTGAGACTCTTAGAAATAAAGGCCATATATTTGGATTTTTCAAACATATTTTTCCACCTGTTGATAATCCCCTTAATGAATATAAATTAATTACAGCAACCTTTCAATATCCTTCGTCAAATCAAAATTGTCAACCTTTTTTCATAAACGAATATTTGCTATTACTTCCATTTTAATTAACATACCTCTTTAAAAAAAAACCCCATTTGCCACACCGCTGCTTCCTAACTCAACAATTATCCTTCACTTGATTTAGTCCTGTTGCTGTTTCATAAAAAAAAACTTTTAAACTTTAACCTTTTCCCCCCAATAATTTTCTTTTTTTGTTGTTGTTGTCGCTGTTCACAAAGTTATCGCTTGACTGTGTCGCTTAATTGATGCCTTCGACAGGTTCGGGTGTTCGTTCATAAGTTCGTTCGTTAGTTCATCAGTCAGTTTGTTTGTCGAAAAGGTCAAAAAGGTAACAGCAATTTAGTCCAGTAATTAAAAATCACATTCTCAATAAAATATTTCTCGTGTGTCATTAGTTTGTGGCCCTGGTGCGGATGGCTGTGGATGTCTGTGAAATAATTGAATTTGAGTTCGTTTTTACGAAAAAAAGGTAGAGAAAGTTTTAATAAAGTTTCAGTTCCAACATGTGTGTTGGTTTAATTTGTGAACCAAATGGGCGGAATATATATATATATATATATACATATATATAATGACCTCAAATAAATAATATTTTTAGAAAGTTTTAATAAAGTTTAAGTTCCAACATGTGTGTGGGTTTAATTTCCGTCCGTCTGTCCATTATAATTTATATACACGATACAGGCCACAGTTATGGACCAATCTTCACGAAATTTTGCTTGTAGCATGGGTTCGGCCCAATGAAGACCCTTGTTGTTTTTGGTAAAGATCGGGGATAAAATGGATTAAATACATAATTTTTGTTTGATTTTCCGGTCGCTCCACTCCGCTCAACTATTAACGCTAATCGATTTGAAATGTTCAATGAGGTTCCAGTTATGGTAAAGTACAACGTCTATAATTTTCAGTGATGATCAGATTATAATTTTGGGATGAAGTGGACCGAACATTTATTTTTTTTTATTCATTTATAGGCTACAATTATAAGCCGAACATCACAACACAACCCACGGTAAAGGGAATATGGACAAGTAATTAGAAGAGCTGTACTGAATATTGGTAATATTCCGAAAATATGTCAGTGTAAGGAAGAGGTGCTTTTGTGCTCTAATCGGGCAAGAGGATGCAACTATTACGAAATATTACCCAGGATCAAAATAATAATCCGCAGAAAGAAAGATTTATCTGGTAGTTGTGTAGGGTATCGTATGGTCGGCCGCGTCCGATTATACTGCTCCGCTCACTGGTTTAAAGAATAATTTTTAGGGACCTCAAATAGGTGTGGATTTGAAGAAAATAATTTTTAGGGACCTTATATAGGCGAGGATTTAAAGAAAGTAATTTTAGAGACCTCAAATAAGCGTAAATTTAAGGAAAGTAATTTTTAGGGACCTCAAATAGGCGTGAATTTGAAGAAAGTAAGTAAAGTAAGGACCTCAAATAGGCATGGATTTAAAGAAAGAAATTTTTAGAGACCTCAAATAGGCGTGGATTTAAAGAATGTAATTTTTAGGGACCTCAAGTAGGCGTGGATTTAAAAAACAATATTGAGGACTTCAAATAGGAGAGGATTTAAAAAAGTAATTTTTGGAATTTTGAGGGACTTCAAATGGGTGTGGATTTCAAAAAAGTAATTTTTGGAATTTTGAGGGACTTCAAATGGGTGTGGATTTCAAAAATTAAATGTTGAGGGACTTCAAATAGGCGTGGATTTAAAAAAAGGAATTTTGAGGGACCTCAATAAAGAATTTTTTTTTTAATTTTTTTAGAGTTATTTTATAAGTGTGGATTTAAAAAAAAATATTTTGAGGGACTACAAAAGGGAGTGAGTGGATTGAAAAAAGAAAAAAAAATCGGAAATCTTTTTTTTTTTTTTTGGACTTGAACAAATATTCGTTGGAACACAAAAAAGGTTTGTAGGATTAAAAAATGCGTGGAGAGAATCCCAAATAAAAAATGAATTACCGATTTGAGGAAAAACCAGTAAGGAAAAAGTCGGATGGTGCCGACTATATGATACCCTTCACCACTTTGGGTATATTCAAGAGATGAATTTTAACAGACGTCGCATTTTTAAAGGACCAATAAAATTAAATTGGATCAATAAACATGTCATTCTGCAACCTATACTAAGTTTTTCATTTGCTTAGATATATATCTGATCCTCTATCTAAGTCTGAAACGATTTCAACGAGACTTCCCAGAGATTCATTTATATTAACCAGAGATTAATTTATATCAACTTCATTGTACAAAATTGTGTCAGCTGAACAAACTTAGGGTCTTTAGTGCACAACTTACATAAAATCGAAAGAAAAAATATATAGGAGCTATATCTAAATCTGCCAAATTTCGTGCAAATCGAAAGATATATATTGACTTTGGTGCACCATTTATATTAAATCGGAGGAAAATATATATGGGAGCTATATCTAAACCTGAACCTATTTTTACGAAACTTAACATACATCATTCTGGACCTAATTCTGTACCCTATGCCAAATTTCGTGCAAATCGAAAGATATTTAGGGACTTGGAAGCCCCATTTACCTTAGATCGGTCGGAAATATATATGGGAGCTATATCTAAGTCTGACCCGATTTTCTCGGAACTTGGCATACTTCGTTCTGGTCTTAATTCAGCACATATATGCAAATCGAAAGATATGTAAGGACTTTAGTGCACCATTTACATAAAATTGGACCAGGCTATATATGGGAGCTATATCTAAATCTGAACCGATTTTCACGAACCTTAGCACACTTCATTCTAGACCTAATTCAGTCCTCTATGCCAAATTTCGAGCAAATCGAAAGATATAAAGGAACTTTGGTGCCCCATTTACCTGAAATCGGACGAAAATATATATGAGAGCTATATCTAAATCTGAACCGATTTTCTCGAAACTTTGCACACGGCATACTAGACTCAATTCAGTACACTATGCATATTTTCGTGTAAATCGAAAGATCTATAAGGACTTTAGAGGACCATTTACATAAAATCGGACAAAACTATATATGACAGCTATATCTAAATTTGAACCGATTTTAACGAAACATAGCACACATTATTCTAGACCTAATTCAGTACTCTATGCCAAATTTCGTGCAAATAGAAATATATGTAATGTATTTGGTGCACCAATTACCTTAAATTGGATGAAACTATATATTGGAGCTATATCTAAATCTGAACCGATTTTTTCGAAAATTGGCACACTTCGTTCTGGACGTAATTCAGTAATCTATGCCAAATTTCGTGCAAATCGAAAGATATTTAGGGACTTTTGTGCACCATTTACCTTAAATCGGACGAAAATATATATGGGAGCTATATATAAATCTGAACCGACTTTGCCAATTTCTAAAGGGTTCGTCCTTGGGCCAAATAAGTGACCTGTGCCAAATTTCATCCAAATCGGATCATAAATGCGAAATGTACTTTGTTTACAATTTAACATCTACAGACAGACGGACGGATATGCATAAATCGACTCATATGCATATTCTCAAAAGGAACCATGTGTCTATCTCGTTTCCTTTTGCCTGTTACAAACATATGCACAAAGACATAAAACCCTGTACCACAGTATGGTGAAGGGTATAAATAGAGACCTCAAATAGGCGCTGATTTAAATAATAATTTTTTTACGGAACTTAAATAGGCGTAAATTTAAAGAAATAAATCCAAAAATAGTAGAGCTGGAAGATACCATTACATACAGAGGAGTTCCATGAGGTGTTCTAATTACATAATAGCTCAGAAGGTCTTCTAATGATCCAGGAGGACTCTTAATTATTGAGGAGCTACATGAGGTCATTTTATCTATCGAAGAAAGGCTGGAGATATTGCATCTACCAAAGAGGAAGTCCCTGTATAACTCTTTCTAGTTGTAGAATAACTATAGAGGTCATTCCATTTATAGGAGAGTTACAGTAGATCGTGTATCAGTAGTAGAACTACAGGAGGTATTGTATCTGTATAAGGGTTACATGAGCTCATCCATCTTTATAAGGGCTATGGGAAATCTTTTATCCATCGACGAGCTACAGGAGGTCTTATATCTAATGAAATGCTATTGGATCGTTTCTATCTATAGAAGAGCTACTGAAGACCTGTTATCTATAGAAGAACTGCAGTAAGCCTACTATCTATCGAGGAGCTACAGGCGATCATTTTCTCTAGTAGAAGAGCTACAGGCATACATTCTATGGCTCATATATTTACAAAGCATCTCTTGTGGCCTCTTGTGTAGCTAGGGAACCTCCAGTAACATTTCGACATACAGAAGACCTTTTGTATTTTCTTCCGCTATTCAAAAAGCCATAAATTTCCGAACAATAGAAAATTTGGAGCACAATATTTATTTGCAGCGCAAAATCTCTATTTTATTTATTCATGACTAAGGGAGAATCCATAAAATTTGTCCAGAAATCTGCTAAATCCCATGGCAATCTGTCACATAGTTCAGAGTTTGGCAAACACTCACAGAAGAGAGCCAAACGTTTTTATCTATACTTCACAGGGTGTTACTATGGCTAGTTTCAGTTCGGTGCCATGAAGGGAGGGAAAGGTGGAGGCAAAAAATAAAAAAAAAATGAAGATTCACTACTTACCCCCTTTGAAATAAATCCACATTGAAGAATTTATATAATTCCACAGAAAATTCAATTGTTGCTTGTAAATCACCCATTACGCTTGAGAGAATCGAGAATTGCCAAGGCGACTACGACAACTACTACTGCCGATATGAATGAAGAAGAATGATGGATGGATGGTTGGTTGGCTGGCTGGTAAGTGAGGCGGAGGAGGAAGCGGTGAAGAATTACCAGTTGAGGTTGCTGTGGGTTAAAAAGTTTGTGTCCAGTTATAAAACTGCTCTTGATGCTGGTTGTGAATTTTTTTCTTTTCACTTTTTTTTTCAACTGCAGGATATTGTTGTTGTTGTTATGGAGGACACCAGCATCAACGTCGTCATCATCATTGTTGTTGTTTTTATTGTTGTCATTATAATTGTCATGATCATCGACAATGGCATCATCATCATCATCATCATCGACATCGGTCGCATTGTCATTTTATAATGTCGTCAAACCAAACAATCCAACTGAACCGGTAACTAAATAAACATTCAGTCATCCGCAACTATGGTTGTCGTTGCTGGTATTGCCATTTCAAAATTGTTATGCATAACTGTATGGTTGGAGGACGAGATGCTTTTGGTGGCAAAATGCTATGCGAAAAAATAGCTGTGGCAGCTGATGTTTTGGTCGGATACCCTTCTCTTGCTTGCTTTCCTCTCTCTCTCTAACCTTTCCTCTATACAGAGGAACTTGGTGGAATATAGTGCTGCTCTTGTTGTTGTTGTTGCTATAGAATATTATGTACTGCAAGGATATGTCTGATGGCAACACATATATATGAACACTTTTCACACATATACACTTGCACACATGTATTGACATGTACACAACGAACTCGTTAAGATTACCAACCAGGTTTCGCAGTAGTGCAGGGCAGCTGCAGAAAAAAAACACTCAAGAGTTCTTCAGTCAAAATTGTTTACGTTTGTACTTAACATTATATAACGACATAATGACATCTAATGGCAACGTGGTGAGGAAGAAGAAGTAGCAGAAAAATATGGACCATATATGTGTGAGTACAGATGATGTTGGTGGCAGTTGGTTGGGCGAAAAGAAATGAGGGCTTTCGTGTGTGGTAGCCCTTTTTATGGCGGGGTCACTTATTTTCACTCGCTGTGGTTCAACTAGCAGCCGGCCTTGTTTCCTACAGTTGAAATGTCACCTCCGACAGCAAATAATCACAAAATCTAATGTTTAACATTTGACATTGGCCATTGCAGTAGTTCTGGTTCGGAAAGGGTCTGGCAAGCGGTGACATGGATTTCATGCAATTCTCGTTAAAGGTTTTCAGGATTATTTGTTTTTAGTTTTCCTTGTTTCCTCTAGGATCCAACATCCATTTGCTGTGTATTTATTTATGTATATGTATTTGTGTGTTTTACTCTGTAAATATAGAGCTGATGATGTTATCGTAGCTCGGTGTTTACCTTGCTAGAAAATTAAATCTGTTTTTTTTCAAAGTATGATTCAGCTTCAGGATTTCATTTCACAATCCTTTCGACATTTCACCGTTTATCGGCTGGTTTCATCATCTAGGCGCTCGGCGGAGTTTCTGGAAAACGCACCAATCGCACCAATTTTTTTTTGTAGATTTTCTGGAAGAGAAAAAATAACAGAAGGAAATAGAAAAGGAAAATTAATAAAATGGAAGAGAATATTATATTTGAAGTTAGAATAGAATGATATTTCCAGGAAGCTGAGGATAGGAGGCAAATACGGTAAGGATAACGAAATCAAATTTTAATATGATAATTTAAAGATTTTTTTCAAAGTGGATTTTTTAAAGAACATTTTTTCAGGAACGAGACAAAGGCTTAGATATTTATTCCCTACACAACTATATTGACAGGGAATTATAGCTTTGTGCAGCCCCAAGAGTTTGTAACGACGCGAAATATTGGTCCGATCATATCTCATATCTCGACTAGATGAATCGATCTAGACATGTGTGTCCGTCAGTCGATGAATATTTAGAGGATGATATGGACCAAATACCTAATTTTTGTCGGGTTTTCTGGTCGCTCCAGAGGCCGCAATTATGACCCAAACATCTCGACTTTTATATGGAGAACTGGATCGTGTCAAAGAATAAGCATGTCTGTTTTACTGAAGATCGATCAAAATTTAGCGAGTCAAATGGACCCTGACTTTTGTGTGAAAAATGTCAAAACTTATATTCTATGGCGTATACATTTGCACCTGAAGGACATAGACCCGAGAAGTTGATAGTATATCCAAGAGGAGTGGTTGACCTTTAAACTGATACCAATTATATTGTCGTATGTAGTCGGATGTGGGAGTTATACAGAAATATTTACAGGCGCTTACGTATTCAGATATTATTTAGTAGTAAAGTCGGACGGGGCCGACTATATGATACCCTTCACCACTGTGGGTATATTCAACCGATGAATCCTAACAGACGTCGCATTTGTAAAGGCCCAGTAAAATGAAATTGGATCCATAAACATGTCACTCTGCAACCGATACTAAATTTTTCATTTGGTCAGATATAGAAGCTATATCAAAATCTGAACCGATTTTCAAGAAATTTAACACACATCTTTTTAGACTTAATTCAGTAAGCTATGCCAAATTTCGTGCAAAACGAAGGATATATAGGGACTTTGGTGCACTATTTACCAAAAATCGAACGAATGTATATATATGGGAGCTATATGTAAATCTGAACCGATTTTCACGAAATTTAACGAACATCGATCTAGACTTAATTCAGTAAGCTATGCAAAATTTCGTGCAAATCGAAGGATAAATAGGGACTTTGGGCACCATTTATCTAAAATCGGACGAAAATATATATGGGAGCTATATCTAAATTTGAACCGATTTTTTCCGAAATTTAACTCAAATCGTTCTAGACCTAATTCAGAACGCTATGCCAAATTTCGTGCAAATCGAAGGATATATAGGGACTTTGGTGTACCATTTACATAAAATCGGACGAAAATATATATGGGAGCTATATGTAAATCTGAACCGATTTTCAAGAAATTTAACACACATCTTTCTAGACTTAATTCAGAAAGCTATGCCAAATTTCGTGCAAATCTAAGGATATATAGGGACTTTGGTGCACTATTTAGCTAAAATCGGACGAAAATATATATGGGAGCTATATGTAAATCTGAACCGATTTTCACGAAATTTAACAGACTTAATTTATTACGCTATGCCAAATTGCATGCAAATCGAAGGATATAAAGGGACTTTGGTGTACCATTTACATAAAATCGGACGAAAATGTATATGGGAGCTATATGTAAATCTGAACCGATTTTCACGAAATTTAACACACATCTTTCTAGACTTAATTCAGTAAGCTATGCCAAATTTCGTGCAAATGGATGGATATACAGGGTCTTTGGTGCACCATTTACCTAAAATCGGACGAAAATATATATGGAAGCTATATCTAAATCTGAACCGATTTTCACGAAATTTAACACACATCGATCTAGACTTAATTCAGAATGCTATGCCAAATTTCGTGCAAATCGAGGGATATATAGGGACTTTGGTGCTCCATTTACCAAAAATTGGACGAAAATATATATGGGAGCTATATCTAAATCTGAATCGATTTTCACGAAATTTAACACACATCATTCTAGACTTATTTTAGTACGCTATACCAAATTTCGTGCAAATCGAAAGATATATAGGGACTTTGGTGGACCATTTATCAAAAATCGGACGAAAATATATATGGGAGCTATATCTAAATCTGAACGGATTTTCACGAAATTTACCACACATCATTATATACCTTATTCATTACGCTGAGCCAAATTTCGTGCAAATCGAAGGATATATAGGGACTTTGGTGCACCATTTACCAAAAATCGGACGAAAATATATATGGAAGCTATATCTAAATCTGAATATATATATATATATATATATTTCGTGCAAATAGAAGGATATATAGGCACTTTGGTGCACTATTTAGCTAAAATCGGACGAAAATATATATGGGAGCTATACCTAAATATGAACCGATTTTACCCAATTTCAATAGGGTTCGCCCTGGGGCCAAATAAATGAGCTGTGCCAAATTTCATTCAATTCGAATCAAAAATGCGACCTGTACTTACAATTTAACATCTACAGACGGACAGGCGGACGGACATGCATAAATCGACTTAAAAAGTGTTTCCATGCATATTCTCAAAAGGAACCATGGGTCTATCTCGTTTCCTTTTGCCTGTTACAAAAATATGCACCACAGTGTGGTGAAGGGTATACAAATTCAGAGACCAAAGACAAGCGTGAACATAAAAAAATCTGACATTACAGACCGGCGTAGATTAAAAAAATAATATATATATATATATATATATAACAGAACAAAATATTCTTTAAAAATTCTGAATTAGCTGTGGGTCTTTTACGATATTCCTTAAAACCTGAATTAAATAAAGGTTTTAAAGGACATTCTACTGTGTTATTTCATGTGTGAACCTTCGAGCGTATAAGTGTTGTCGTTACTTATACGCCATCGGGGGTCAAAATACAAATATCCGATAATCATTTGTAGAAGAGATAGTTCACATGTTTTAATTTGCTAGAAATTTAATTAAAATTCCCTTTAGTTTGGATTATTTAATTCATGTTAATTAGGTCGAATACAATAATAAAAAAACTATTCCCTGATTAGATAACCTCAATGTTCCGAGTAGCAGCATACAATATGTACCCACTTCTAATGTTAAAGTGGCCACAGCACTTGACCACATAAACTCATTTCATTTCTCGTGAAGACAGAAATAAAACTTCGTTAGCTTAATTTATTCTTACTTCGTCGGGTTTGTGTGGGGCGGTAGAATTTGCTCATTGGAATTACCCTTTGTTTGGATTATTTATGGCCCGTAAGATATTCCAGCGCAATTTGTGGTGGTGGTGCTCATTAAAAATCAGCAGCAGCAACAGAAACTAAAACAACAACCACCCCTGCGACTGGTATGTAGGGCAACAACTAAACAAACAATGTTCGATAAATTGATTAAGTTTTAATGAGATGCACTTGCAAAAATACACACAGCAAGCA